CGAACCTTCTAGTTGATTGTTGGACAGTGCTGTTACTTTTACAGATGAATCTGTGTAACTGATTGATACAACTCACTAATAATAAAAATAATATATCTTACTTGTAAGTGGGGAGGGTTTAGCTGCAGTATCTGAGCCAGGTCCATCACCAACAAAACATGCTACACGATAAACCACGTGAACTCCAGGCCATGTATACTCGCCTAATTTAATCACAGACAATTCATTCGCTTCTGTTAATGGTTGAGAAAATTCTACTTCTTCTGATTCATTTCGATTACTGAAGAAAGTAGGTGGATAATATGGGTAATAGGTCAGTAAAGAGTTAAATCCTTTAGTATATTCAACACTTCCTTCGTTTATTGAGTCTGGATCGGTTGGGAGGATGAATGTATCAGTTTCCGAGGTTGTCTTTTCATCGGGGATTTTCAACGTTTTTTTGTCTGCAATCTTGTCTTTTTTAGCAGGTGTAATCTGACCCGCTTTTGAGACAGGTTGATTTGCCTACAAAAATATTATTCTAAGAATTATTTCAGCGAATTGACAAAATCATTAATGAACAGTGTTCTAAGGCTATTCAAGGTGATATAAAAAAACTGAGGGGTGGAAAAGGGAGTTTTTGATGAATAGGAAGTTCGATAAATTCCGTAATTGTTGGTACTACACTGTAGAACTTGTGTTTTCATTTGTTTTAAACTATTCTTCTGAATTTAGATAAACATCGACCTTTATTAACACTAGGAAGATATACGTTTTAGAATTCTTCATATAGAGAAGGCTTCACCCATTGGATATTAGTTGGTGTTAAGTTTGTTTTACATTGTTCTTACTCATTTTTTTCAAGTTTTTTGTATATTGTCTTATACTACTTATTCACATTCAGTAAGCAGCTGTATTACGAGCAATTTTTAAACTTATGTTGTAACGCAAGTTGTGTAATATTCTGAAATATTTGCATATACTTATAACGTTTATTGTACTTATAATTATATTTATCATTATAATTACTTTACCTCAATCACTTTAGCGGTTACCTACAATTTTGTGCATTTGTTTAAACGCAACAGTTTTCATATTGTTTTGCTCTTAGTTCAGGTTCTGGTTGTTGATAAACTGTTGTCAAATTTAGACACAGTTATCAGCTGTCCCTTGTACTGTCATACGCTGTAATTATTCTTTATGTTACCGCTACAGGAAGCCTTTTTATTTCATACAGAAGGACGCGTTTAAACGCCTTAGACACCTCACAAGGTGAGGTTTGTAACGAATTTTTGTGTATTATTCAATAAACAACCACTATTGTAGACAAATCGTTGTTTTGAGAACTTCGGTTTTGCGCGTATCTCAATCGGGTGACCTGGACGCTTCGATAGATCTAACAGTTGGCTTATATCAAATACAAATGAACTCTCCTATCAATAAAAAACAAGTGACGAAAATACTATTAACAACATAAACATTCTTGTGCGTAAAGAATACTAAAGTCAGGGGAACTTCTAGCATCTAGTAAATCAAACTGGATTATAAACTATAAAATAATATCAGTCAGCAGTCTAGAGGTCTGTGAAAGTATGACATATTAGCAATGAAAGGTTGAAAGTAAAATATTTACGAATATATCAATAGATTATTTCAATACTATTATTTATTAGCGCAATGATTCAAACACAAATGTCGGACTGCCAGTTGGTCTTTTGAGCTAATTAGCTAATTTGCAAGGTCTTACAAAACGTTCTAAGTTAATTTACAGCTCTTCAAATGAAGGTTATTAGACGGAAGACATTGAAATATGCTTGAATTTTGAGCTTCCCATAAGATTAAAATTATTATCATTTTTATATTCACACATTCTGTTAGATTTTATTTTTCATGTTATTAGGAATAATAGTGTTATCAATTAATATTGTCAAAATGAGCTAAATTTAGTGAAATCGAAATATCACCTATGCCCAAAGGTTGATTTCTTGAACATACGACTAGAAGCAATATATATCGTAGTGACGGGTTAATTATATGATATTATATTAACTGTAAGGCTGGATGTTCGTAGTTGGACTGATTGTACTCTATTGTATTTGTAAGTTTTTGTTGGTAAATCCTTAAAATGGAGAGGAAAACGTTTAAATTAAAAACATGTTTCAGAAGATTCAAAGTTCTAATCGTTCTTCTTCATTATTTAGGATCATATCTAGGATAGATTAGTGCTCACAGCAGGTGTCATAAGTTTGGTTTGTTGTAAGGCATCATCTTAATTACACGGAACATAGTAGCAAAACACTGTAAAGTTAGTAACATTTCACGATTAACAGCTTCTCACAGTAGTTGTATTTTAAGCGAGACCACCGGTAATTTCTGATCAGTAAATACAAGATTAGAAAAGTCATTCATAAAAAGTTTGAATAGTTTGAAGGTGTTTAAAATGTATATAGGTCAATAAAAATCTTGTGACATCAACGTAGTTCAAGCAATTGAATTGGAGAGGGCATTCATAGGAATGAAAAATATGTATTTAGATAGAGATGCTGTACATACTAGCAAAAGGATTTTCTTATCTACTATAATGTGACAGAAGATATTTTAACCTGTAAGTTTCACATGAAAATAAATCTGATATTTGCAACAGAACACTTTGCATATGTCGATCCTGATGCTTTTTATTTCAATACAGAACGTAAGACCGATATATGTTTCATGTTTTCAAAATTCAAAAACCAAACGAAAACATTTTAATTCTAAAAACGTCAGTCAGTCAGCAGCAACGTAGAACTTCGTACGTACGTACATCAGTTCGAGTTGCCGTACTACATTAGCACAGAGATACAATTATCGATTCAAATCCGTAGTGGTAGAGGTAGTAAGAGTATAAGCAGTAATCAGAAACATTAGGGTTTTAACGATGTTATTCAAGGAGTATAATACAATGAAATAAATTTGGAAAGAGAAAAAAAGGTACATGAAGAATTTGGAAGATTAGAATTTGGGAGAACACAAAGGGTGGATGCACCTGCGCCATCATTCAAGGTCTCTAACCATCGGTTGCTATCATTTCGCGGATCCCAACCAGGTAGTCTACACCTACCAGCATGGCTCAGTCCACTTGTCAACGATTTCATGAATTTGTGCCATAATTTGGTCTGGCCACCCCTAGCTTTCTTCCAACCTACACCTACACCATAAAGCATTACACGTCGAGGCAGTCGGTGGTTGGGCATACGTAACACGTGTTCCAGCCATCTCAACTGATGAAGTTTCACTACGTCATCAATTGATTTGCCATCCTTACCTAGTACCCGTTTTCCTAACAACTGCACTACTTACTCGCTAGTCTCAGGATATACGAGCAATGCTTCGAAGACACCTATGATCGGATACTAATAACCTACGAATATCCTCTACTCTTACCGGCCATGTTTTTTTTAATTCTAAAAAAGTATATGATAAGTTTCTCATTTTGAAGACAATATTCACTGAAGACCGAGATCATCAGAAGATAAGTAATTTTGAAATGAATGTTAGTTTATTCTGAAAGTTCTTTCCAAAATATTTTAAACTGTGAGGAAAAAACTCCTGATTAAAATTCAAGAAAAGTTTCGACTATAATTAACAGTTATGTGTAATGAAATAACTGAAATTTCTCATATAAAAAAAACACCATTCTGAGATGGTGAAGAAGATTTGTAGCTCAGGTAGAAAACTATTCAAAACAAAAAATAACATCGTATTATATGAGGAGTCCCACAAGAGGACGAAACGGCCGTCCATTGCTTCTAGGTTTTCCATGGTGATCTAGTTTCAATTGACTCATAATTTCAGTTATTGAAATTACTCAAATCTCCACAAAACCCCTTCTGATATATATGTTTATTACTTAAACTTTATATAAATGATGATAGTATATCTATAATAAATCAAATATTACCTTATTAAGTTTTACAGTTTTATCTTCTTCATTTACGAGGGATTGTTCTTTTTTTCGTTTTTGTTTATCTATATCACACAATCGACTTGCTTCTCTCTGTATACATTGTTTATTTAAGCATGGTGAAAAACGTATATTTATTGTTGACTCTATATACAATACAAAAATGAGTAGTTTTTCGTGTTTAAATAGTAGTAACATAGAAATGAATTTGAATATACGTTTTAACATACATTTTATTAAGCAAACTTAATTGTAATAGTATTATTATAATAAAATCTGTGTAATGTTAACATAGTTTAAATTTTATGCTTAGATTTACAATGCATCCAATTTGAAGTTGGGAGAAAACATCCTTTCACAATGTTCCTACCTGCGAGAATAAAATGTAATTGTATGATACTATTCTGAACTTTAGACGGTATACATATTATATCTCAGGCTATAAGTTTATCTATTTGAATTGATTAATATTCTACAAAATCTATTTTATTGTAGTTTAGCACACTGACTCAATACAGAACTTGTGCTATATGAGCAGAAATATTTATACTGGTTATTTCCTGAAATTCGCCAAATTGCAATATAAATTAGTTTGAATTGGTCCCCTGACTGGATGAAGTTTATGTATAATGAATTAATAAATTTAAGTCAGTGACATGAAAATGAAATATGACAAACTGTTTGTTCCGATAATACTTTCTGATTGAGATCTTGAACCGATTGATGTTAGACCACCATTGAAAACCTGGAAGCACTGGACGGACGTTCCGTCCTATAGTGGGACTCCTCAGCAGTGCACACCCACGATGCTGCTCATGGGATCCGAACCCATGGCCTTCAGTCTCGCGCGCGAACGCTTAACCTACTAACGGTCTCAGTATCCAACCTCAACCAATCCATGAAATTGCATGACTATCTTTCATTGTACTGAGGTAGATACCTGTCTCTACCCGACACGGAATAACTCCATTGGCCTCCAGGTTTTCAATGGTGATCTAACATGAATCGGTTGAAGATCTCAATCAATAACTTAATAATCTCCAGCCCTATAACCGATAAAAACTTTTTGAGAAAAAAATTAATTTACTTCTCCAGGTTTTAGTGTTCCAGTAGCTGGATAAAAACTAATCAAGTTTGATAAAATTGATTCCAACAGATCATTTGATAGATTATCTTCTGCAATTAAACCATAAGAATTAGTGATTGTAGCTTTTATAACTTGTAGTTCAAATGCTCTACGTCCTACTGGAACAGGTTTTGTATCTGTACCAATACATGGTTGTACATGAGTAAAAGGATTAGATGAAGTATGGTGATTGTGAATTTTTAAATTGCTTGTATTTGATTCACTGATAGGTGTAGGATTAAAATAAAGTTGATTGGTAGATAAACTTAACGGTGAGTAAACCCCGACACCAGTACATTCTGTAGTAAAGATACTGATAAAAAAATCAAACAGTAAAACTGAAGTATATACACTATTTAAAACATGGTAGAATTAAAAATCGAAAGCAGTTTGGTGAAGATTATTAATTTTTTAAATAAAAGAATCTTGTTTAGTATATGGTAATTTGTGGAAAGAGGAATATAATAATCGTGAATCTTCATTTATAGTATAACAAGCGTTTACAATACAGGCGATCTAATGGTATTTATCAAAAGAATTGCTCAGTAATCTTTATGATAATAATTATAGTTAGGATAGCAACAGTAGTCCAGGCCGATAACAAGTTTGAGTGCTTATTTGGAAGATAGTTATTCATCTCAGAATCTAGGACACGATTTAAAATTTAATTTATTATGTCCATCTGATGGATTATGCGGTTATTATGAGTGAATTCTAACCTAATTTTTAAATCTTTGCTTAATGTCATGAGCAGAGAAGGAATGCTTTGGATCCATTTTTCTCTCTATGAGATTTTTTAGCACTGATTTGGACTTGCTCTAGATGGATACCTACTTTAATCATAGGTGTTAGAGTAGTCAACAAATTCACCTGTCATGAAATTCTTGCCAAATCCAATGTTATGAGATCTAGTTATTGATAATAAACGCCCTGTCCTTTTCTACAACTTGTGACATCCATCTTTCTGTCTATAAAAAAGCAATATTTTTATTATTCGGTTGTCAAATATTTAATCCAAAGGTATGTTTTTCCATAGAGCAATTAGAAGACGGATTTGTTCTGAAAAATGTGATGTATTTGCGCCATACATTTTGAACAATCTGGTCACACATATACTTGTCAGGACATTTATATGAAAACTAATAAAGGTCAATTAAATGAAAGTTCAAGTAAAAAAGGTAACAAAGGAGAGAGAAACATTTTCTTACGTCATATCGAAAGAATAAGAAATTGTCGCGTTATCTTAGACCATAAGAGGTTACGATAAATTGTTTTTGTACACATTAGGGGGTTTAAATTTACGAATAGCCAAGGCTTCAATGAACCTAAGAATTCGTCCTTGACAATTTTTATACATTTTAAAAGCTGTATTAATGTCAATTTTGTGCCCCGTTTCATTATGTTTCGCTATCGATGAACATGGTTTTCTACCTTTGACGTTGATCGGACCATTTGACACTGGTTTTGAAGCTATCTAGGCACATGTTTAATGACACTTGATGACACTGTTCGATTACTCTTCCCTATGTGTGTATCCTTTGTGGACATAGGTTATTATGAAACAGTACTTTCGAATGATAAAACCACCGAATGAATAATGATTAGATTGCACGTAAGTTTTCAGATAGGAGCTGTCAATAGCCTAATGAAACACTGAACCTTCGTCGACTGTTGTTACAGATACTTGAGTTATTTTCATCATTATTGATTTCTATACCATACATTTTCTCATGCGTACAAAAATGGTAACAATCGTGTACATGTAAAAGAAACAATCTACACTCATTGAAAAATGTCTTATACATATATTTCTTTTCTTTTCCAGATATTATAAACTTACAACTTACCGTCCAATACCTGATTTACAAACTAAAACGAAATGATATTCTTTTGCTTTTTTTGGTTGAAACAATACTTCCAATTCAATTGTTTCTTTTCCAAGTATAACACCAAAACCATCATTTGGTTGAATATCAACAAACTAAATCCAAACAGAAATATAACAGAAACATTTTATTAATGGTTTAATTTATTCTAAATTATCTATTCAACTTACACAAATCTGTGACATTGAATATATATTGAATAATTTACACTATCAATAATTACTATTCTATCAATTATACTTTGAAACTGTTCAACGAAACAAGAAAACGTATTCATCACTCATTTGTCTTGAAAAGTTCTTTAATTATTATTTCATAATCCATATATATCTAACAAACATTAAAGTTTCATTAAACATTAAAGATTAGAATGTGAACAATGAATATACGTAATAGAAGATAATTGAATCTATTTAGTTTAAATAAAACAAATTTGAAATGTTTTGTTAAAACTTTCTTTGTTATTTACAAAATTGGCTATTTTAAATCCATGTTTTAATTGTTCTTATTTAAGTTGATATAACAATTTATGAATAACCTTTGATCAATGTTAAAATGACATTGAAAGTGTTCATCTACTTATTAAGGTTAAATAAGGGTTAGTGTGAGAAACTAGGATTAGGATTTACAGTTGAACGTTCGAGTTAAAAATTATAGATAATTCCCACTTAAACATTAAAATTAAAACACGACGTTCAGCGAAGGGATCTCTTTTCAACGAATTTCTTATCAAGCAAGGTACATTGGCCGTAGCCAGCGCTCGCTTTCAACTCGAATACGGGAACATATCCCAGCTTGGTTCTATAAGGGTGAAAGGAAAGCAGTTAGGAGTTCTATACTTGAACACCTAATCGACTGTAACCATTCTACAGATCCACAATATGGTTATTATGACAAAAACATTTCAATCATCTTATTATATTCACTAAACCTATTGTAATTATTCGTATTACGTAATCTAGTATTACAATCTTTTTATTACGTCATTTTGTTTATTCGTGTTCACATTTCCTCACGGAATTAGTACTTTTTCATATATATACGATTGTACAGCTTGGTAATGAATTCGTTGAAAAGAGATCCCTTCGCTGAACTTCGTGTTTTAATTTTAAAAATTATATTTAATGTCTTCATCACGAAATGATATCAGCTTAACTGCTGATATGATGCTTCCAGGTTTTTCATAGTGGTCTAGCTTCAGTTGACTCATGATTTCAACTATTGGTATTTAGCTAATGATGGTATTTAGCTAAATGATTAGATGAATCTTTCACAAAGATCAAAGACCTGCTATCTTAAATCTGATTGGATTTAATGATATTAAAGAAAAATAATAAATAGATTATATAAAACAGGTATACTCATACCCTTTAATATTACACTATTGATAAAGCTTTTAATGGCCCGGGATCTGACTCCAATTAGATTGTATGAATGTTCGTTATTGAATGATTGCTGTTGAAATACATATATCACCTATTCTCGTATATAATCATCGACTTAAATTGAGTTACTTACATTAGTCAAATTCGAGAATTAATTTCAAATAGGTATATTTCATGCAACTGGAGAAGCGAAGAGAAGAGAGCGAGGTGAAATGACGCGCGGTGGAGAAGGCATGTGAGCCAACTCCATTTAGTCAAGCGTTAATCAATATTTATAGTCACACAAAATTAAGCTACAGACATGTGATGAATGGGATAGGATCGTTACACATAGTCAAGACTCAAGTGGAATGAATAGATTGACCTATCCGAAAGCTAGAATAAGGTATATGGGCTTAACATAATAATCGACACTACAACCTAATAGTTAATGGTAAAATATTAACTGTACATCTTTAGCCGCAAACAAAATGAAACATTACTGGAATTAATCATTTTCAGAATAAAGCAATTTAAAATTACAATAAAATCTCCATCACATAGTAAAGATATATCATCCAACTATATTTACAGAGCGAATCCTTCTAGTTATAATTTTATCGTAGGGATTTATCCATCGGAAGAACGTTAATATTTATCAAATGTGAAGTAGAATTGTCAGTGAGTCTTTTTTTTCAAAACGAATGGAAAAAGCCGGTAAATTAAAGATTATGATCAATTTCAACTAATAATAAATTCATAGTTGATTGTTTGAAATAAAACAAGCCCTCGTGGAATCCTCAAGGTCAAAGGAAAAGAGGAAGACCAAAGAACACATTACGCCGGGAAATAGAGATAGACATGGGAAAAATGAACAAGAATTGGATGGAATTAGAAAAGAAGGCCCAGGACAGAGTGGGTTGGAGAATGCTGGTCGGCGGTCTTTGCTCCATTAGGAGTAAACAGGGGTAAGTAAGTAAGTAATTTGAATTAAAATGTATATGGGCAAAGAGTACTTATTTGAAAATGTAAAGTGAAATATGAAATCGCTCCATGTATGATAATAGAAAATGTTGATTCTGACAATATAATTAACTAGTCGTTCATCAATTATTTCATAACTCAACGAGAAAAATAAGGTATTTTTTATTACATTAAAAGCTCTCTATAAAACATAAGTTACAAAGTGATGAATGGTCAAATAACGATAATTACTCTTTTATTAATAATGATATTCATTTAAACACATAGACATTGGTACAAGGAGGCATCAAATATATATGCGCCACACTTAACTCAATTTGTGGCTGAAATACTATCCGGGTGCCCAAACCGAAGGGCGTGGTTTCCTCCGAGAGCCACACCCCGAGCTTTTGACCTAAAGGTCTAATCCACAAGGGAATGGAGTAACGTTAGGAGATGCAGTCCTATCGTAGCCAATAACAAACAATAGTTTCATGTACCATTTATTTCATCAGGATCCTGGAGCCAATGTTCACTGTTAGTTTAGAATCAGGATTTTCCAACTCCCCTAGGTGGACCCTCCGTATCCACCAACTCGGTTGAAGCGCCAGACGTCATTTTTCATCTTCTCAATTGTTGGGACGGTATATCCCCAAAATTCATATTTGTAATTTTATCATATCGATTAACTTATCGATTAAATATTTGAATGCCTGTCGATTGATGAACTTAATGAGTCATGTTTAAAAAAACATTTTACTATGACAATATCGATTATATATATATATATATATATATATATATATATATATATATATATATATGTTTTAAATTGTTTGAGTGCTTGCTTCCTCGTTTTCTGGCTGTTTGCAGAATATATTTTCCATAACAAGCTTGTACTTCTCCTTGTAGATAGCGGCGCTGGGACACATCAATAGTTAGATTACTGGTCTTTGGTCACTGAGTCTTGTTCTCGTTCGCAGATTAAGTGAACTCGTGAAGCTTCAACCTAACATCAATTTCGTGAACAACAGCCCCTCCGCGAGGAAGCAGTGCGTAGGACTTTCCTGCCAGTGGTTGTATACGCGTGATCATATGAGAGCATTTCGAGAGAGAGATCGAACTCCCCCACCCTCGACTGTACCAAGGGGTTTGTGGGCATTAGTGATACTAACAATAATAACAGTAATAAAGATGATAATATTCTCACCATAAATGATAAAATTGCTTGGTTTTGGGGAAAATAATTTATATATCTAATTTGTGATGATTTCGGTTTATTGTAAGTAGATTCACTAAGGGTAAGTCACTGACAAAGATTCTAGAATTTTCAATTTATACTAGTATGTGCAATATTTTATTTTATAAACGTTTTCCAATCCAGCTTGTTCAGTTATTAGCCAAAAAGCTGTTGTACATAAAGTTAGTTATCGAGAACTTCAGTTAAAAAACATACCATCAGGATATTGTGAATAGTTTTGTAGATTTTTAGAATAATAACTAACTAATCTTTCTTAAAAAGCTGTATTTTATTGTGTCGTTAAAAATCTCTATTATTATTTAAAAGGAATTTTATTTTCACAGTTTGTACATTCTCTAAAAAAAGAAATATTATATGATCACATGAGTTAAACGAACACTCACCTCCGGAAGTTCGACAATTCCAAAATTCTGGGGCAACAAGCTATTATTTGTTATTAATAGTCGTGTTACTACAGTTTCATGAATTTCAGCAAAACCAAAATTGATTGGATTGGGAGAAAGTACTAAATCTGTTGTTGTAATTACAGCACCAACTATTAATTGTAGTTTGTTAGTTTGGCCTACAACATGAACAGTAACTGGTACTTGAAGTACACCTGTTAGGGAATCATATGATAACTTTGAGAGACAACTTTCATTCTCACTTTCTGCATGAGAATGACTGTTATCTGGATCACAGAAGTGTGCAAGGTCATCGGGTAAGCTGAGTTTGGGCAACAGTTTTACTTGAGCCAATAATCGACTTTCAGCCTGCAAAGCCAAATTATATAGATATATATAGATGATTTAAACTTAAGCAATAGTTAATCGCGATAAATATGGTTTATTAGTGTTCTAAGGTTCAAATGAAGCTCTTAATATTTAGAGCTAGACATATTTAGGACTGTGGCTCATTCATACGAGTGCATGTCTGTATACGTTTAGTTCCTTCACCAATTTTAAGCAGTTGTGTAAACTGGATTAGAAATCAAAGAAACAGTGTTACAGAAAAACGTTATAGGAACAACATTTCTGACTGGTCTAATTATTCAGCATACATATCCTTTATAAATATCTAATATTGATCTAAAGAATAATGAAATCATTTGCTCGATATTTTATTTGAACGAATCCAAATGTAATCGGTTCTTATCGATTGACTCTGCCATCACAATATAGATGAGTACGAACAGGGAGTTACTAATTATTAGGGTGTCACTTCAACCTCGAAAGAGATTTTTTAACATCAATTTATAACTTTTTAAACCTTCCTTGTAAACACTTTTTTGAGATAATGTTAACTAATTTTGGTTCACGAATAATACCAGTGTATACTTAATGAATTACTGTACACTAAGAATTTGTTTTAATATTAAGAGAAAAACAATCTATATATCTTTTTATTTTCTTTATTCAATTCAATTTTAAGTTAAATAGCTTACTTGAACAAAACCAGTTTTGGTAAAATTTTTAAATGATTTGAAATTTCTTTATCAACTTCAAATATAACTTTAAGAGCAGATTTTGTTCTATTATGTACAGCGAAACATTCTTGATATAGTCGATTAAACCAACATATTCCCATAGATAAATTCAATGTTGATAACCATACAGGAATATTTTTAGGATAACCAATAGCATGTATATAAATATCTGAACTATCAGGATCATCAAAATGAATAATAAATTTTTCTTCTTCCATAATAGATTCATTAATATTAACAGAAATATTATTAGGATTCCAAATAATTTTTAAATTCACTGAATTGAATGATTCTAAATATCCAGATTTTAATTCACCAGTTATAAAGTTAGATGAAAATTTGTTAAACGTAGAATGATTTATTTCATTTTTATCTTGATTATTGTTTTGATGTTCTTCCACTGAAAAAAAAAGTTAAATATAATAAGCCTTTGTAGTTGATCTAAAAAATATTTCATTACAAATTTCTTCAGAAAAACAATAATAAAATATCAGGATATATATATATATATGTCCCGAATCTAAGTGAAGTTCAAAAGGCTATATTTAATCTGAAACAAGGAAGGGCAGCTGGTCTAGATGAATTGGCTCCAGAGGTCTTTAAGGATGATGGTCCAATTTTAGCGATTAGGTTGACTAATATTTGAGCGCTCATACTTCTGGGAGTTAAACATTATACCATCTGACTGGTCACAATCACTTATCGTCCCGATATATAAGAGAGGGTTAAAATAAGCCTGTAACAATCATAGAGGGATTGGTTTAACTAATATAGTATCTAAAATGCAAGCGTCAATAATTATCGGTTACCTAATTAAGACTCGTGAACTACAAACACGAGAAACTCAGGTTGGCTTCAGACCTGGTCGTGGCTGCATCGACCATATATTCACCATTCGTCAGGTTGTAGAACACAGGTATACTTATCGGCCTCCGACAACAGTGGTCTTTCTTCACGTAACGGCAGCATTTGACTCTGTAGACCATGAGATTCTGTGGCAGTGTCTGTCATTGAAAGGCAAACCTCAGAAGTACATAAACTTTGTGAAGGTTGTTTATTCGAATACTACTAATCGAGTCAGAGCTTATGGTGAACTGTCATCTGTTTTTGCAGCCGCAAATAGTGTCCATCAAGATTGTCCAATTTTTTTAACTTCTCGTCGGCTGAATTCTCGGATATTGATCTCCTTCTAGGAGGTCCACATATCGACTTAGAATACAAAGACGACATAGTCCTGTTTGGCGAAGACTCTGAAAAAATGCAGTCTTCTGGTAGCACTGAGCAATAATGCCAGAATGTTTGGAATGCACTTCTCTCCCTCGAAATGCAAGCTGTTGCTTCAGGACTGGTCTGCGTCAACACCTGAACTAAGGATGGGGAGTGAAGTAGTCGAACGCGTTGACAACTTCACTTATCTTGGAAGTCTGATCAGTCCTAATGGGCTTATATCGGACGAAATCTCAGCACGGATTCGAAAAGCTCGCTTGGCTTTTGCCAACTTACGTCACCTATGGCGAAGGCGAGATATCCGTCTATCAATGAAAGGACGAGTATACTGCGTGGCAGTCCGTTCTGTTTTAATTTACGGCAGCGAAACATGGCCATTAAGAGTCGAAGACACTCGTAAGCTACTAGTATTTGACCACAGATGTCTTAGAAATATTGCTCGCATCTGCTGGGACCACCGGGTAAGTAATAGTGAGGTTAGACACAGGGTATTAGGGAACGATGGTAAATCAGTTGATGAAGTTGTGAATCTTCATCGACTGAGATGGTTGGACCACGTGTTACGTATGCCTGAATACCGATTACCACGACGTGCAATGCTATCCGGTATTGGAGATGGTTGGAAGAAAGTTAGGGACGGCCAAACCAAAACGTGGCACCAGTGCTTGAAGTTGCCAACTTCTAGTCTGAGCCATGTTGGTAGATGCAGACTACTTGGTTGGGGTCCGCGTGACTATCGTAACCAATGGTTGGAGACTCTTGGTGACATGGCTCAGAATCGATCACAATGGCGTCGGTGTATACACTCTCTGTCTTCCCTTAAACTAGGAGATTAAAATCACTTCATATCTTTCTTTCTACGAACTAATTCTTTCTTCCTGTACTATATCCTTATCTGCAATTTTTCTTTTATATAATGCCACCACCACTTATATGAATTCGGTGTTGATCTTGTTGTGCTAATGATATATGGCAACTTAGACTGATGCATATACGTGCCTGGTCCTACTTTGTAGCTGAGTGACTGGTGTATATATATATGTCATACTTTAATGAGTAGAAAATTGTATTTCTATAATTTCACGTACTAGGGATATTTGTTGACGATGCAAATTATCGTTTACTCAGAATTTTATTTATGTAATATATTAACTGATAATCTACCTGAAGTCATCAGAATGACAAATACAACATTATCATTTGAGATAGATGAATAGAATAAACAATAATCTGTATAGACCAATCTTATTTATGTATTAGTTAATGAGACGTATAGAGGTATAACACAAATTTACATAAAATTACTCACTTTCACATAGAATGTTTTCAGATTCTCTTTCCTGAGTATTAGGTTCATTCTTTAAAAAGTATGAAAATTATATCTTTATCTATAGTCTAATAGAAACACTCTAAATTAACTGATTGTGCAGTGGTTAAGTAAATTATAAACAATTTAATGACTAATAGATGTTTTTAGTTAGTGTGTAAATGAAAACTATGCGATCAGCTTCAAAGTAGCTACTCAGTTCACTCTTTTTATCTGAATGTATTACATAGATAAGATAACCTTTGTGGTTTACTTACTTGCAAAAAATTATCTATTCAACACTTTAACAAATAATTTCAAGCTTCTACTGTAAATATTAATGGCTCTCTTTTCGAATGGAATATTAACTTATTCTAATTGATTTCACTCCACGATCCTTATAGTTTTTTTTTATCATGGAGCTAGCTGCATGGAAACTTTATATTGAATGAATATGAATGTCATTCGGCAAATCACTGATAGATATTTGAACGTATGCATCGATATCTTCTTTAAAAGTCATTAAAAAATTGAGTCTTACAAGGTAGAAAAATCTTACAGAGAATGTCAGAATTAAGCACAATAAGGATTAACATATTACAGTCTTGAGGTGTTTATAAAGTTTGTAAAGAATAGCACACCTTCCTTCAAAATATAGATATCAAACATATCTTTACAATAAACAATGGTATAAGAGATTATCAACTACGAATAAAAAGTGGAAAACGTCCCACATACTCTGGGATTCGGCAATCCTACTTTCTAATATTTCATCGCATAAATATAATAATAAATATAAATGATTTTCTGAACATACTAAGAATATTTACTGATATTATCATTCACAAACACAAATTTTACTGACCAGATTACGATTCAATGATTAATTTGACGTCGTTTTCATTTTTTTAAGGAGTATTGAGTATCATCGGCGAAGATGAATAATGGCTAGCAGTGGAATCCAAAACACATGTTTTGCCCCATTTATGACTCATCATCTAGATGTACCTACATCACAGAATTATTGTTCACTCTGAGACTCGAACCCAGCACGTTTGCTTCAAACGCCATCGCGTTATCCACTTAACTACTGAGTTTTGATAGCCACCTGCTTATGCGATGGGGTGAAATTTGCTTGTGTATTCCCATTGGCGTTTAGGACTTTAATTGACCAGTCTATTATTTGCATATGTGCATCCTGTGAACATCAACTCTGGGATGCAGGTAAATCTAGCTGACGAGTCCCGAATAGGAAAATTGCGCGTCCTGGATTCCACTGCTAGCCACCATCCATCTTTGCTATAATACTTGTGACTTAAGGTAATATAGAGGCAGTCTACACAGGATGCGCATATGCCGAAAAGAGATTAATCAACTGAAGCTTTAAAAAACAATGGAAAGATACAAGTAAAGAATACCAATTATTGGATATTGCTATCATAAATCAGTAGAACAAGTCAGAAATTAACTATAAGAGGTGTTGCATCCATGAATCACTAAATATTTAGAATAATACGAAACAATATAGTTTACAAAAATCAAGTCCTCATATCATTTTGCAACCACTTTTATACGTATATTCAATGCAGTTTTGTTAATAGACACACAGGAAAGAATGTTTATGTATACGTAAGACTTGAGAATCTCTTTTACGATTTCCGGTATAAAGATAGTCAAAAGTTTCAGTATCATGCCAGATAAACAAATATACGCATTTAGATAAGAAGTCAGTAAAAACTTTATGATTGGTAGTAATGAGATTGGACTTAAAATTTTGAAGATTATCATTAAATCAGTTGAAGAGGGAACTGAAAAATGGGTTAAAATCTGTTCATTGAAATGTAATGAATGGATCTTGGTATTCAATTTCAAGAATTCTTGGTTGTTTCATCATTCAGTATTAAAAAACTGTGGTTAGACCACTTTATTTGCATTCTTTTTTATAATAGCATGAATAATCTAATACAAGTCATCGAAAATCCTTGACAGATTAATACAACAGAACAACTCTTAATAGAATTCCTTGATACACAAATAAAACTACTTTTGTAAGTAAAATATCAAAACTAATGTAAAAATACATAACTTTAGGAAATTTATCCGTCGGAAATCCTTACTGACAACTTCAACCTGGTCACCCAATAAAGGTGAGTTCTGTCAATAAACGATGGTATTCTCTGTTAATCTGAAACATTTTCAAAGTATGAACGTTTGGTAATTATTAGGAGAGTGAATTACTGCTGTTACTTCACTTAGTCTACTTATGACTGTGGATATCACATGGATAATTCTCGGTAATATTCACACAGAAAATACTTCGAAGCCTTTTGACACATGAGACAACGCTAACCAAAATGTTATATTATGCGACTTCTTAAAATAATACACATCATTTAATTCAAATTCCATCACAGAATTTACCAGCATAAACGTCCTACTGTTTTAAAAAATAAGTAGTATGAAATACCTAACAAAATAACGTTTGAAATGGCTTGTACTATTATTATTAATGAAAGACATAATAATTGAAAAAAGATTGAAGATTAAGTAGAGTGTTGATGACAAAATAACAGCATATTTGCGTTGTATTTAAATGTATATAAATTGGGTGTTTAGGAGTATTGATGATGTGAGGAATTAACAGAAATAAATACAGTCGTTTGGATAGGCTATGCAAATCGAGTGAATAATCAGGCCTTTAATTCTATCCAGAGTACAGAGATTTAGGAATATATGAAACATCGCAACTACTCAACTTACTTTATAACTGCAAAAGCTGTTTTAATCATTTGATATTAATAAAATCGATTCGATGGTTGCTAAAAATAGCGCATTCTGTTATTGTTGGTTTGGTTTACAGATTTTTCCAGTTCTACAGTACTTTTCGGAGGCCTTTTTCGTAGCTTAAGCATTGGTCAGCTCGAGCCAAGATTTCACGAGACGACTCTCCAACAAATAAAACATCACAGATGACAAAACCTACTCCACAGATGCATGGATCTATGTAGATGTATGGATACAAAAGGGATCTTTTTCTTTTTCCGAGCTAAAGTTTTGACTGTTTCAAAGGAAGCTTTAATTTTGTTTAGTTTCAAACACTTTGCAGTTCTTTCACCATACAGTTGTGGCGAGATATAACTACGATAGCGGGCCATGTTATTTCTTTTTAATTTTAACCCATAGATGCAGCGTTTCATCTCAATATTTTTCTAGTAATATTCATAGCAATTTATCGAACTGTAAGATATTTATTATGCGAGGCGGATGTGTAGTCTGATGGCAATGGTACTTCTAGAATTATTTACTGCGATAACAGTTTTTTAATGATAAGTTTTTATTTACAGTGATATGAAGACTGATGACGGCTAAGATAATGAAAAATAAATGGACAGTTTCCTAAAACTGTGACTGGATTGAAAGTAAGTAGTATGTTTCTACACTAAAAATGTACCTTTTCATCGATTTTTGGTTCATCGCTCTTAATTGATTCATCGATACACTTCCCTGCATTGATAGTCTCTTGTGAACTTTCTTTGATGTTATCACTATCTTTTTCCTTGTAACTTTCGGACAATGATTTGAAGGTAAATCTAGCACCCTTTGCACCAGAGTTACACAGTTTTACACTTCGAAAAACAGTTTCACCAATAACAACTTCACCAAAATTCACCACGCTACAGTCTATGGAAAACTGATCAGAAAAAATAAAATGAGGCAAACAACTGGATGCAAAATACAATGAAGAAAACAAATGAATTAAATAATATAATGTTCGAATTCATTAAGATTATGTCAACCTTTATTTTGGCTGATAAAAACGGCAACATTTAGACACGGTTAACGCAGTCTAATTGCCAAAATATATGACAAGTTATTTTTTTACAAAAAACAGTTTAATTTACAATGATAAGTGGGCTATAAGATTATTGATCACAGTTATTGTATGTGAAACAGTAGTTTTTATACGGTATGCTATGAGTTGAACAATACTTCAAACATAGCTAAACTGAAGAATAACATGATTTTACACTAATATCAAATTGCTAAAAACTTGAAATAACCACATGGTTTGTGATATCGCTCATATGTATTTAATAAAACTCCCGAATCGAATAAATGAATTACTTTTATTTGGGAATCATGGTTTGGATTCAGCTGGGGCTGTTCAAATATATTTAATATTTATTTTGCCTTGATCGATTGATTAATTTCTGCTACTATTTAGATTCTCATTTTGACTTATGGATTCTCACCATATTAACTTCTACTCTCATTTGTATTTATTTAGTGTTCTGATAAGTTGGATCAATATTTTGATACCAAGTCCAACGTTTTTCAATTTATCTCATCTGAATTAATAGGAGCGTGGAGTGAACAAAATAAATATTTAATTAGAGAGAGGTTTCGTGGATATTATAGTAATTTCATGAATCAATCAAAGCTATACCACCATGGAAAACCTGTAGGCATCGGACGGCCATTTCGTCCTAGCATGGGACTCCTCAGCAGTGTGCGTCCACGATCCCGCCTCGCAAGATTCGAACTCAGGAGCTATCGGTTTCGAGCGCGAACGCTTAACCTCCAGACCACTGAGTCGGCCGACATCCAACGGTGTTAGTGTCTAGCTTCAACTAATCCATGAAGTTGCGTCACCGTCCACCAATGTCATCAGTGAGTTACTATTTCAGAACAGACCCAGTTGAACTCCACTGGTCGCTGCTTTTCACTAAGACTCCGGGAAATACCCGTTGGAGACCGCATATGATGATTATAATCAGAGAGGGGTTTTGTGGATATTATGGTAATTTTAATAGTTGAATTCATCAACCAATTGATGCTAGACCACCATGGAAAACCTGGAAGCACTGGACGACCGTTTCGTTCTAATATGGGACTCCTAAACAGTGCGCATCCACGGCCGTTCAGTGCTTCCAGGTTTTTCATGGTGATTTAGCTTCAAGTGACTCATCAATTCAACTATTAGAATATTTAATTATGGACTGGCTTCATGTTTAAAATAAGTGACATCTTTATATTAGAAATTGTTATTTTTAATGTTAATTCTATTAAATAAAGTTTATGTTTGTTTATGCGAAAGCGAAATAACAAAAGTTGTCAAGTAGAAACTATCTAAGGTGGAGATCATTTATACTTGTTCTTTGCCAAAAATATCTAATTTTGTAATAATTTGGAAAACAAACCTGAATTCAAGTGTTTATGTAAAAGTTGCGTACCTAGTAATCTTGATTGTATGTGTGGTAGAAGGATTTGAAATATCGATGAATAATATCCTGGTAAAGTTAAACCTATCTACAACAATACCCAAGTTTAAAAATAAAAATAAACGTGTTTATCATCCCTGTATCCCAATCTTAAATGTAGTGGGAAATGTCCCAAAAGCATAATTTTGACGGCTTTTGTTTCCTTGAATAAATGGCTTATTTAAAAAGTTTTCTTTTTAAAGTTTTCGTCATCCGTACTGTCTAGAAAGAATACGTGAACCAAGCAGATCACTAAACGAAAATCAATTCTGAGATAGTGTAAATACAGACTGGTTGAATGTTCTAGAATTCTAGAGAAATAATTGTTCTTTTTTATTTATAAACAAGGGTTTATGATATCCCAAAAACTCGTTAGTTTTTTACCCGTGAAATATTGTGTCTCCGTACCCCTGGATATCTTTTTAAAATATTTTACTAAACGTCAACATTTTGACTCATTTAGATATCAGTTTTGTATTACACTATAAACCATAAACATTACTTACAAACTGGTTCTTCATGTGTGGCAGATATCAATTATCCAGTATTATATTACAGAATGAAATATTGGATAAAATAACTGATTTTATGAACGTTCGCATGCAGTAAGCTCTCAGTGTCTTCAAGTAAGAGATGGTCACCATCATGCTATAATTGATCGTCAGGATAGTTAGTTATGGTTAGATAAGTTGTTGCTTATAAGAAACTGAAAAATGTTTGTATGTATAATTCTAGCTGTTTATTTTGAAAATGTAATGTAAAGTTAAATTTACCTCGCATTTTTTTACAGTTGCTTTAAACGGAATAAAGAATGGTCCAGTTGGAGATAAAAATTCTAGTTCACCAGTTAAATTTTTATTCAGTTTTGGAGTAAACTTAATCTGAAGCCAACAATTCATCCCAGGCGAAAGCATACCTGGTGGAATAAACCTAAAATACCATACATCGTGAAGTTAAAACAGATTTTGGTATATCTTTGTAAAAATAATTATCTGAATTCTCTTCAAAATGTTTCTGATCTTATAACTTTGAAAATAATTTACGAGATCTGACTCCAGTGAGATTGGACAAATGATTGTTATTGGGATATACATGTCGAAATATATATGTCGACTATCCTCTTATATAATTATTGACTTAATCCGCGTTAGTGAATAACGGAATTAAATAAGCCAAGTACGAGAAAAGATTTTGAACATATATATTTTGTACACTCATTGATCTGGGCAGGCAGTCGGAGGTACGAAGCGAAATGATGTGCAGTGGTTTAGTCAAGCGTTAATCGATATTTATAGTCACACAAAAATAAGCTACGGATATGTTATGAATAGGATAAAATGTACATACAAATGCTGATATAAAAACATTCAGGTTAATAAGTGAATACTTAACAAGATCAAAATGTGACTCAAGAAGAAAAAATAGATCGGCCTGTTCAGAAGCTAGAATAGGCTGTGTGGGCTTAACATAGTCACCGAAATTACAAGAACATCAAATGCCTGAAGTGAAAAACTGGTTTCTAATGCATTAATTTCATAAAATTCGATTAAGAACAGCAAGTTTATCTACAGTTCGAAATTCCATAGGATGGGGCAATATGAATTGTTAATGTCTCTTGCCAACTGTAAATCTCTTCAAGAGTAAGAAAATTATCGGATCATTTTGTCTATGACCACTTTTCCATAAACGTTAATTAGAATAATTAGCAAGTAATCAGATTTAACTAATAAGAAAAGTTACAGATATGAAAGTGCTGTATGAATAACTATATGGAATAGAAAACTAAGAAATCAAGTGAAAATAACTTACTTCACGTCTACAAAATCCATAAGAGTTGATGTTATTCCAACATATCTACATGTACTAATAGCATATGAAGCATTAGTTAGCGTAACTTTAATTTTTTGAGTTTTATCTACTTCGATGTTCTGAAATTAGTATAAAGTAAATGAATTTTGTATTTTGTGTAAAATGAGTTTGAAAATGAAGGATCATTACTGATAGGTGATTAATAGAAAAGTAAACAAATGGAAATTCATCGAATGTTTTCACTGAAAAATTAGTTTCATTATTAGGGTGAAAGTATATATTAGATCAGGAAACGTGATCACATGACTAACAGTTTTTAACTAAACTAGTAAATCTGATGAATGCACTATAAACATTTTGCAAAGTATTTGGATATGTGTAACTGGCTAAGATCAGTCAATTCTAAATATTTGGAACTCAAATACATATTAAGTTCTCTGAGATAAGAACTTTTATCTAATGTAATTCGAGATCATTTTAATCAAATATGATCGTTCACGAAGCTCTTAGCATTTAATATTTTCTCTTTGATGAAAATTAAGAAATTTATTCCTAAAATGTTAAAAGATTCCAAAAGAACCCAAACCACCAGAAAGAAAAATTATTTCGACCGTCATAATTCAGTGCTGGAAAAATAAACTATGATATTCTTTCCCTGATTTTAACATGAATTTACTGTACATACAGTTCCAAAGTAGCATATTTTATATTGTTATAATGATTAATTGTTAATTGGTAATGGAAACGATTCTAACATTTTCACCACTCATTATAAGCGATTTTCTGATGCCACAAAAGTTGTCATTTGGTGTTTCAAACAATCAAAAAGACAACTGGCTTTTATCACGATTTCGTAGGTTTTTCAAGAAATGACATTCATAATAAACATTCATATGGATACAGTGATTTTTAAATAATGAATCTAAACTCGACTTTTTCTATTTAAGTGACTAGTTGTCAAATTTATGCTACAATTAGTCATACAATGTGTATAAGCTGGAAGAGCTCTTGCCGACAACTGATAAAAGTCATTTTTGGTAGTAATAGATTTATTTTGATGTGATTTATTTGTACTTCTTGTCGGTATGTTTTTGGAAGTTTTCCTTTGAATCTCTTCATGAAGAACTGCTTTTAGGATTTTAGAACGACAAATATACATGTTAATAAGTTGTTTAATGGCTAACAAAAATGAACTTTGCAATAAAGGTTCATACGTAAATAATCCTATAAAATATACTAACCTGAAACCATATTTCAGCTGGCTTGGCTATAAAACTTGGACCATCGAATTTTTTCCCCGCCACAATTTGAGGTTGTACAATGTTTTCACGAGTTTGTTGTAGAACACGTTGTAAAATTTCCTAGTGTTAGATTAGAAGCAAACAAATTCAAATCATGAGAATACACAGAATTGAATTTAGTTTAAAATGGGGTAACTTTATTTATGACTACATACAGAAATGGCTTTATTTAATCCATCATTAACAAGAATGAAGCACTAATTATGTAACAATATGTTCCCATAAACTTAACATTATAGATTATATGCATGGTTTAGTAAAAATATCACAAAATCTGTTTCCACACACCACCTATGTTTAAATAACCCTCAATATATAATAATTTAATATTTGATGAATGCAATACGAGGCAGTTGTGAGTATGATGAGTAGGTACACATTTATTTATATATAACTGGTAGAATATTGAAAAACTTTGCAATGCACTAAAAAGTTGGTACTGATCGATTCTTAATAAATTAATCAAGAAGCAATGACTTTTAATATGATGAGTAAGTCTATTAATCAAATACTTTCAAAATCCAATTCTTGCCCAACTGCATATGATAATGATTAAACAGCCATAAAATATAGCCCCCTTATGAACCAATTCAATGATTTTAAAGAACAACTTATAGAAAATTTCAATATGAATATGTAGTTATTTCGCGATTCAACTAAACTATAACTCAACTGATTGATATAAAATAAAATTTATTGCATTGAAAATCATCAACTACACTAATGTACATCTTGAACAGTTTAGTGACGTAAGTAAAACTCTATGCAATAGTATGACAAAATATACATAAACATTTATGTTATAGTTCCATTTAAAATCCGAATGATAAAACAATTGAATGATGATATAAGTTCAGCCAGAAACTTTTTTTATAAACAATTATTTCAACTGTATTTTTATTTACCTTTTCAGCTTTAGAACATCTTTCTGTATGATATGTATTACAGTTAGTATGTTCTTTTTCCTTGTCGTAAATTGCGTCATCAGTTTCTGATAGTTTTGTAGATGATCTGTTAGTTAACTTCTGTAAGACACGATCTGTTGAAATAGTCAGTATATTGCTTTTAGTAGATGACGACTTCATGGCATCACGAGAAACTAAAATTTATAAAATCATAAGTGATTAGTTTTTCGTTGGATATAACTTATAGTAATTTAATATTGAAATTATTTTATTATTTCTATAATCTAATCACAAACTTAAAATCCATAAATAAATTTTTTATTTAATAGTTGAATTCATGAATCAATTAAAACTAGACTATCATGGAAAATCTGGAAGAACTGGACGGCCTTTTCGTCCTAGTATGGGACTCTTCCCGCGGGTGGGATCGTGGATGTACATTAGTGAGAAGTCCCATACTAAGGATGAAACGGTCGTCCAGTGCTTCTAGGTTTTCCATGTTGGTCTAGCTTTAACTGACCTACGAATTCAACTATTAAATTACTAAAATCTTCCCAAAATCCCCCTCTGCTAAAACGTTTTTAGTTCACTATAACTGAGAGCGTTAGAAATTCGGTTTTGCGTTCACATCTTAAGTAGATCAAAGCTAATAAAAATAGGATAATCAATGTTTTATTTCAACATTTACTAAATAATGTTTCATGAGAAATGCTATTTGGATAGAATTTCTGCAAAATCAATGTGTTATATCATAGTAAAAATTAAATTACGGGTAGCTTCTGAGAACTGTTAATGGACTAATATTCTATATATATTCTTATTGTTCAGTAACTACATTATGTATATTTATATCCACTTATTATAAGCTTTATTTTGACCTACAGACTATTTTGATACAATTCACTATTCTTAAGTTATACTCAGTTTATTAATTACGATCCCCCACAATCACAGCCACTTTTTGGCTTGATCTTGTACAAATGTTATGTTATATTTTATAGTGTGATGTGGTCTGTTTGGTTTGTATATAAACCAAGTATGTTTAAAATAAATTTTTCGTATAGTGGAAGATGTTATTAGTGTCATGGACTTAACTGGCAGGGTTAGGGGAAAAAAGGACCGATAAGGACGATAGACTGCTCATACCGGTCGAACGACATTGATTTAGCAAAGCGCTAAGATTGTATAAGTCGTACTCCGATTGGCGAATAAGTCACGTGATGATTAGCGGGCTTAAAGTCACAACACAATGGATTATATTGTGTGAATAGATAATGAAATTTCTTGTATTTTTACTGTCCTTATGGTATTTGGAATTTTAAGCATAAAATCATAACTACTAATCTAACAAGATATTGAAAGTTTGGGTTTGTTTCGAGACAGCATTACAAACTGACTATGATGAAACCAATGAGTTAAAATGGATGGCTTTCTTTTTATGGACACTACTTTTTGTTTAAAATGATGAAATGAAATCAATGTTTTACTTAGAATGTCAGAAAAGATGTAAACATCAAACCCTAGCTACAATGGTTTCAAAGAGTAACCAGTGGAAAAGTTATAGATTTCTGGTGTACGAATCAATTTAATTATTATTTATACAAGCTAGTTTCACTGTTCAAAGATCAGAAAAAAATTACAATGCAGAAAGGTTGTCGATGATACTATTCAGTGTGTGAAGTATAAGTTCTCTGTACTGCAGTATGATAAAAAGAGCATTTCAGTAATCTAGAGGTGGAGGCCTTTTTGATGATACCTAAAACTTATTTGTTAACTTCAATTTCAAAGACTATGCAAACTAACTTATTTTCAGTAAAATTCTAAAATATTTGGCTATAGTTTGATATACTGTAAGTTTTACTTTAAAAAACCTTGAAAAATAAAAAACTGGATTCTTATCTCCTTCAAACATCGAGGATGGGTTTATGTCCCAGTGAACACCACACTAGAAGGTGAACTACAGTACATGAAGAGAAAAACTACATTCAAAGAAGTAAATTTATTGAACTTAAGTCCTCAAAGACAGAGCTAAAAACTTAGTTTTCTTCAGCAATATTTACAAAATATCAATAAATTTAATTAAAACGTCTTTGTCACGGCTAAATAACCCCAAAGAACTTCAACTGTTTAGCATATTGGGAATAACAAACTGATAACACTAATATCTGAATAATTTCTTGAAAAATCTTCAATAGGTCAGGTGGAATCATCTGTTGACCTCTGAGCATTTTTAAAGGCCTTGTCAGTTCATTCTTTATCTTGTTATTGAAATCTATTTGATTATTCAGTATCTGAAATTTATGGTGATTATTCAGGATGTTATTCGTCTTGTCAAAGTAGTTTTTTTGTTAAGTAGAACAGCTCCTGTTATTTTATCAGGTTTTGACTAAAAACACAAGAAACTATCAATGAACTCATTAATGACGAGAATCTGTTCATCACAAAACCTGATAAAGGAACAGGAAATGTCCTACTTAACAAAAAGACTACATTGAGAAGATGAATAACATCTTGAATGACCACCAAAAATTTCAGAAACTGAATAACCAATACGTTACAGGTCATCAATAATCAATAACACAAGATGCCCTTTTTAATCTGAAGAAACTTCAGGTATGTCTTGACAGATCTTTTAGTAAACTAATGACTAATGAAAACTATGTTCAGCCATTCCTATCAAACTAAACATTATCTGATTTTGGTAATGTTCCACAGAAATGACATAGATTTTTTCAAGCCAGTTGATGAAAATTCACAACATACCAAAACTGCAAATCGCTTGATTTACATTGTCCTCCGTAACTATGTTCTGCTGCTTCGAAAAGGAATCTAATAAGCCAGATACTGAGTCATAGGACTGTGATAAATATTTTTCATATTCAGCATCATTTTCATCATTTTGTTCCGTTTCTACAGAAAAATTATTCTCCAGTGACTGGGCGTAAAAAAAGTGTATGATAAAAAAGATTTTGAATAGGGCACTGACACGTATTGATTATAAAAAGTGAACGACACTTTTATAACTGGGTACGGTAATACATTATATGGTTAGGCATAAGTTTTAGAAGTGCTATGTCCACTGAGCTCATTCACAATAACATCCACAAAATCATTTTCCTGAGCTACAAATACTCTTTATTATACCTAAGTGCAGCTTGTAGTAAAAGGTGAAGTGAAAATGCGACCTTTTTGTACTAATTTGATGAAAAAAATCCTAAACAAATAGTGGATTCTTTTGTCTTAGATCTTCAATATTTTCCGATAAAACCAATTGACAGCATCATAGTAAGTCTGATTTCGTAAAGGGTACTGTTTCCTTTTAAAAACAAAATGGACGAAATGTTTTAGAAAGTGGGTGACATGTTTTAAACCAATATCCATTACCAGTAGATCTTTATGTGATGATCAGAGTTCGAGCACTTTATTCTTTGTTCCTTCAGAATACTATTCTGTAATAACTTTACCAAACTTTAATTTTACAGAAATTAGTGAGTTACTTGAATGTCTGAGTAATATCTTTGATTCTTCTTAGGAGATCTGCAATTATATCTCCGAGCAGGACATAAAAAACGTTGGAAGGATAATTTACTTCTATAGTATAAAAGTTCTATGATAGAATGTTTCATGATTCAACAAGTCGTACTATCAAGGATTTACTAGGGTTATTCTGTTGTCAGATAATTTTCAGGTATAGCCCATTCAGTAATCAGTCATCGAATCCCGCTGAAGTATTAGTAAAAAAGATATCATTTTATAAAAACTCTCTCAAAATAAATATGAATTAGATCGTTATTAATATACAATTAAGGTGAGTCACTGGGATAAGAAATGAAAAATCAGTGAATAAAAGAAAACTATACGATATTAACTTTGCTTACAACTAATGGTTATATACCGTGTACTTAGTATGAAATTTTCGAAAAAATTGATCACTTTCTTAATTTAGGCAAACGAAATGGAAATATCCTAAAATCGCTAAGCACAATAAAATTAAAACTGTTAGTGCAGCTAAGATATTTAAGGCCAATAAGAACCAATCAACATCGAGGTGTTCAGAACAAGCTGTGAAACGCATATGGAGAAATTCGAACACTTCACTTCTATCTGAAGTTTGTGTTGATGATGTCGTTCAGAAGAATGGTGAAAGATCCACGACCAAACCACCAACTCAGAGAAAGAAATTCCATTAAAATCATCCACCTGAGCTACAAATCTTCTCCACCATCTCAGATATTAAGAGTATTTTAGAAAAATATATAAAAGTGCTGATTATCTGTATTGTTTAGTTAACCATCTTGACAAAAGAACTACGCTGTAACTTACATTTATTACTGCATCATCTTTTCTCTGATGTTTTACAAATTCATCAATCATATGTTGTTCAAGTTTTGATGGTTGTTCATTATTCTCTAAGTACTTATTGCTTTAAATACTGAAAAAATACATTTTAACATACTTGAGGGCATTTATAATTTTCATTTTCTCTGGGGGTCAATGTGAGTCGTTTCACTTTCTCCTTTTGCAAAAATTCTTCACGTAAAAGTTTAGCTATTATTTCCCTATACTTCCTATTTTGTGACTCTTTGAAAGCTCTGAAGATAATAAATTAAAAAGGAAGTTTTAACTAGGATTGAATCCTGTGTAAATGTTTTATTTAAATAGATAAAAACCATTTGTTGTTAATATCTGAAAACTATTGAAGCGAACAAAGAAATGTTTATCGATTAGCGATTTTTAGATGAGACTTCTCACGTTGTAATTTCTGATATTCTTTCTATATATGGTAGAATGATCCGTTTGTTGGTTCCTATATCTGATTTTGTTTCTGCTGACGCGTTTGGTTGATATTTTTTGATGAATTTGATTGAGTAGCCGTTTTTTTGAAAGATAGTCTTGAGATATTTTTATTCATGTTTCCTTGCTGCAAATGTGTTACAGTGTGTTCTCGCCCTTTTGAACAAAGTTTGTACTCAGTTGATTTTGTGAGTTCTTGAGTTGTTGCTCTGTAATTGGGAATTTGATCCATTTGGGTCAGCATACAATAAACGTGAGTCTCCAGTTTTCCTGTGTCGGTTCTGGTGATTAATACATCTAAGAATGATGGTTTGTTGTTTAATTCCTATTCCATTTTGAACTTGATGTCATCAGAAACTGTGTAGTTTCTAATGTTTTGTGGAATTAGTTGGGGTGTAATGGAAAGATTTTGATTGCATCCTATCATTTAAATTAAATTGTTTAAAAAAGCTAAGTCGGTACCGTATAATCATGTATCTTGTGACCTTGGGACCAAACTTTCTCAAATTACTTGAGGTGAATATAATCTCATGTAACCAATCAAATACTTACGTCTGGTGAGCTTCAATATTGGCTAATCTACGATGCAATGCCAGTTCGAGTTTTTCGTTCTTTAGATTTTGTTCTGCTTGGATACACAGACCTTTTTCTTCCATTAACAAGGAATTTTGGTGTGCTCTGTGTTTGGCTTGAACAATAGCCATGATGGTCTGAAATAGACAAAATAAAAAACAAGGTTTCACGATATCGTTTAGTGGTGTAACTTTTAGTTTCCTTTATCACTGCTCCAGTAATCAGTGTGGGTAAGGAAACATACTTAATTTACGGTTTTAATGTTATATTTACACTATTCGACGGACTAAATCAAGGGAATACTATTTGACTTAAAAAAATAATCTTATGTAGTCATTTAGTTGAAATAAACTGACGCGAAATTACGTGAGCATTTTAAAAATCTTTTTAATCCAATTTTATTTACTTTACGGTTTCTTTTAGTCACACATGACAAAGTCATAATAAACCTAATTGTTCCATAATTACTACTTTGCACAGCACTAATTAAGAACAAATTCACCAGCAAAAGAACTTTTATGAACAAAACGGATTTTAGTTGCTAACCTGAAAAAAACCTAGCAGTATCATGATTCTTCTGCATGTCATGACTTATAAAAGTATGAATATAGGAAAAAAAGGAGAACATAGACTTCAAGCTCACTAAGCAATCAACAAGTGATAATTTGACAAAATGGAATTACTGCAGGTGACTATTATTCCATAGTATACATCAGTGAGTATGCTAATAGTCTAGCAAAATCACACGTACATCATAGTGTATAACCAATGCAATGTAACTAATCTGTCCTTGCTTTTTAAAAGTAACGTTCTTCAGTCACAGTAAAGTGTAAAATAAGTTCTTGCCGAAGATTTTTTAAAGTCGTTTAGTTACCTGTAAACTTGAGAGTCACTAACCAAAAAATAAAGATTTAAATTCTCATCACTTCAATGAACAGAACATAATAAACAACGTATGACACAATACGAAGTGACAATAACACAAGTTGTGTAGATATTTATCGGTACAAATAATGAGAATCAACAGAAAAAAAACAGAGATATTTTTGGAGTTTTGTAACCAAACGCTTAAAAAGAGTAGTTGGACCTTTATTTTAAAAAATTTTCAGGTTATATGTTCTCTAGATTAAATTTTAAACATTCAATTTAGGTACAAACTATAACCGAACACTTCTTGAATCTAAGTATCACTAAGAGCTAATAAGTTTAAATTTTGAAAAATATATTGCTTTGCAAATCAGATTATGTGAGTAACACTGATTGTAATCACTTACAATGCGTATCAAACATAACAAACCAATATTTTTTTACATAGAAACTAATTTATATTTTCCATAAGACTTTGTCCCTGGTTTCATTAATGCAAGTATAAAGCCAGAAACTTTAGGTAGTAATCATCACCTAAGTCCAACTGGATAATTTCAAATAAACTGAACACTGGCTTGATTGTTATTGATAGAATTCTTGATGGATTTCTTATATCTCAATGAGTAGAAAATTGATTGCTGACATTCTCTAAATTAGTGTAAGCTGCATCTCCAAACTAAAAATTATATCAGTGCATTGAATTAATACATGTTGAAGCAGAGATACTTAGTATAATCAAAAATAAATCTAATGAAACTAATGTAATGTTAATGTCAAAGCCATTTGTGAAACAAGCTTGTGCTTTTGCATTCATGCTAGTGGATGAGAATGAATTCACAAATAAACAAATTTACTGGAGAAATACAATGAATTGACCAAAAACGTGGATAGTTTAATAAAAATGATTCCTCTTGAATTTCATGCATCTTTATTCATTGCTCAATTTAAATAGATCGAAAACAACCAGATTTGCTAAACAACACGAATTAATAACTTTTATAGGCTTCTAATCAGCTACAAAAGACCTACATTAGCATAAATGATAGTAGTATTATGGAGGATTTTTCACGCTGTAACCGCTGAAGTTTCTTTAAATACGACATAAGAAACTGGAAGATGGAATAATGTATTTAAAATCGGTTGTTTTTCTATATGTTGAAGATGAAATTATACATAGAATAGGTTTCAGTAGAAAATAATAATAAATGAACAATAAGTAGAACAAGTTGTCAACAAAAAAATGGTAGTTGAGGCACCCAGTTGACATAAAATTCAAGTTTTTGAATGAATATCAATGAAGTTTGTTTTGCTTCAAGTTATAAAAGTAAATGAAAAAACAGCTTAGGTAAAAAACCATGCAAATTATGGGTTGATCACACTTACTTTATGTATACAAAGCTAAGGTAAAAACGTTTTTGATGGCAGTAACCTATGCAGAGCAGAGTTAAAGTGATATTCGTCACTTAATACTTGTTTTAAACCCATTTATCTCGTTCACTCTGTGTCCATTATCCACTAAGTGTCTATTGATTGTACTTATATGTGCTTTACCTTCTTTAAGGCAACACTTTCTAGAAACATGTTCGAAAATCTTACAGATATCGTTCTATTGGCCATTCCTATATAATTTCTTCCGCATTTACGTATAAATTCATAAATACACTTTTATGTGGCCTTGAAAACATATTGGTGTACTTTTGCCTGGTTTGATAAGCATCTGTTGTTAAATACTAAATATTCTCATGCTATAACGAAATTTCGTTTTGTGTGCTTATAGATCCCTGTACAGGTTTTGCTTGAAATCTACCGTTGAAGTACGTGAAGGATAAGAACAGGTATTTCGTTATGAGATGATTATTTTTGACTCTCCTTGACCATTTTTCTGGACCTTGTAATACATTTTTTGCGTTACGTTTTTCAAAAAACATTCTTCAATGTATGCTACTGATTTACAGATGCTTAGTTTTAACCTTTTCATCAAAAGAGGACAACAATACTGGAATTCTTTGAGGTCCCAAAAACCAAAAGCATGAGGAAAAGAGAAAGAAAGGAGACCTCAACAGTTAGATCCAGTTCCGATGATTTAATGGCTGTTCATAATCTCTCAGACAGAAATCTAAGTACCCATGAATTTAATCCAACAGAGAAAGAGCCATATTTTAATTTACATAGGAAAATATTTATGATTTTACAAATCTTTCCAACTCAAAAACCATTAATTGGACAACTGTCTGACAAAGAAATTCATGTATCACGTCAAGGAACTCATATTTTAGCAAACAAACACCTTATCTGTCTAACGTTTCAAAAGAAGAATCGAAAGCTTTACAATCAGTACAAAATGACAGAGTGGCGGGAATTAATAGAGCTAACAAAGGCAGTACAACATTATTCAAAAATAGAAAATATTATGGCGGGAAAGCTTTTAAACATTTATTGACTGGACCATTTCAAATGACTGACCCGAAAGATCTTCAAATTGCTATATTGGAACATAAATAAGCCACGATTTGGTAGAACGAGGATTTCTTTATGGTTTAGTTTATGTATCGAATCATAAGATATGTCAGTCCTTTCACGGTTTACCTAGAATATGTCTTACGAGAACCTGTAATGGACTTTACAGAGACATTCACATGTCCGCAATCCAAATTCCTGCCCGTCCTATTGAAGACACCTAAAAACGAATTACATAATGTGACTGGGGATCAGTTACCAAAGAGAATGGAATAGTGGTAAGTTGTGATTTCATATCTCTCTTCATGTGGTTGTATTTCGGTTAATAAATGCCTATAGTTTATTGTCGGTTTACTGCAGAATAATCATACTCTGAATAGCAAGTGTCATTCAAGCACTAATTTAATTATTTAGCTCCCAAAACTGTGCCCAAATTCAACCCTATGTACAGACCGTGGAGTATTATAATAGTAAGCAGATATTATGACAATAAAATTCTTCAGCAGTCGATTGCACTCAATCTGTTCATCTTTTATACTGAATCACGTACTTTTGTCAGTGATGTCAGACGATGAATTAAGCTCAGTTGTATGGCTGATAATTTTGGTATCGTTGAAAAAGCCTTACTGCAAATTTCTAAACTGATTACGATGCTCTTACTCCACATAAAATTTACCTTCGAAGGGAGTCTTTTTAAGTAAGCGACCAAAGGTTATTCTCATGATTTGTTATGTATAAAATGTCACATGGCTATTTGAAAGCATAATTTTATGACTTTTTGACAGAATCAACTCACACAAACATGAGAGTTATTAAACTGACATATCACTGCCAAACTTTAACTGAGTAGGGATACACTTTTTTTCATGTTTTGCCTTGGATACTGTACTCGTATTTTCTAATCAGTGCACTGAGCTGGTATATAGACGAATGAAGGGCAAATAGATAAAAGTTACTTTGCAGTCAAAAAAGTATACATCTGAAAATGTTTCCATTTATGTTGATTTTGAGATTTATTTTCGTGTGTTCTTCGCGGACTATTTTACTATCGTAAAAGCATATTTTAAATGCTCACATGGTTTGAAGCTCAGACTGAAAATTTTTTGTTTTGAACCAGGTATCTTGGATTCTTGTGACATGTGAATTCAAAAAATTATACGGTCGTCAGAAAAAGTAACGGGGAAGTTTGCTTTCGGAAAGTAAAATGATTCCAGTTTCATTGTCATGACAAAGGGTTGTTTCAACTACGATCCAAGAAAATTATTATTTCTAGTCGGCAATTAAAAATAATCAAGAGGCGGATAATTTACGTGCACATACATATAAAAAATCTATTGTATGTTCTAACACGCTCTTCACCTACTGTTAGTGCCCTATAAAACAAATGTTAGACAAACCATTTCCGCAAATTTTCATAAATCCTGTAAATTGATCGTTTGTAAGGGGTATGCAGACGAAAAGTGATCTCATTATTACATACATCTTATCTAGTTACCATCAGTCTCCAACGTTATGTTTCATTTTAAACTTCAACCCCAAAATCAGTTTAGGATGTTTTTTATTAAACCGCATCTGGCCTTCATAAAAAAGTCTCATTGCAGAGCATTAAAGCTAACTACAAATTTATTTAATGCTAAGCTTTTGCATGTGAGTAGGTTAGCTTTACTTTTGAATTTTGCTAGTAATAAACATTTGTCTGGGTTTCATAACCTCCATATAACTAGTGATTTTGTTTATTATCATGAAAGACTTTTAATCCACAGTTAGTTAGATATACACTGTGAAAGACACGTTCAGAAATGCGAAATTCAAACTGCAAGAAAACGAACGGGGTTGAAATGCAAGGTAAGGGAGGAAGTTGATCTGATATCATTAATTAAGTAATTAGGACGGTTAAAAATCTGTGAATGCTTCATTATGAAAACAACATAGATAACTTCTAAGTATACTGACTTTAGAATCCTCAATTGATGCCTTCAGAGCTGCTGCAGACCTCATCCTTGTTTCACTGTCGTCACTTTGAGGTAAAAGGGCCAGTGAAGTGCTTCTAAAAGTATAAGAAAGTTTTAGAAACCTCACTTGTTAGCTGTCAGATTATACTTAAATCTGTCTTGATCTGGGTTTTTAAAAATGCCATTATTTTTATCGTTTGTACGGCGGTACAAATGTGTGTGTAGATCTGATTTGTTCACTTTTTGAGTTTGACGTACAGATTTTTTAGATTTTTGCTTCATATAAGGCTCGAAGGAAATTGGGGTCTCATAGAGGTCATTGTGATTTTTGCTTATATCGGAAGACTCTTTAATCTGTAAAAGCGACGTATTATATCTAGAAAACTGATTACAAAATTTTTCAAGTTACTCAAGATTATTGAGATCTTTCTCAATTTCACATTTTAATGAATGTACATGATGAAGTTCCGAGTTCAAGCAACTAATTCGACTTTTGACAAGATTGTGATCAGCTTTCGAGCTTTCATTTAGTTTTTCTGATAACTGTTTTTTCTCTTCGGTTAGTTTAGTGATCTGAAATTTTGAAATATTCAGTTCATTTCTTATTATACTGACTAAGAACATAATTATCACGTACTGTAGTCTGCATCTAGTGGCATTTACTTTTTCAGTCGTGATATCTGCAGCTGTTTATTAATCAGGAAAAAGAGATTACTTTTTATATCTTCGTCATGGATCATGACTAATCTTTAAATACGTCCTATTATGTTGTTATAGCTTGAAGCATTTAAACAATGTCACAAGGTCTAAGTACTCAGTTCAAAATACAATATTTGGTCTGTAATTTGTAAGTTAAATATGATGTTCAAAACTGCCCATGTTGCGGATAAATTTATAAGATGCCAATATTTAGTGAACATATTTAGCCTGAGGATAATATGTTTGTTGAGAGAGTATATGAGATCTATGGTAGAACGGGATAAGGGAAAAAGTCGACGATGCAGTGAGCACATAGGACAAACTTAAATTTATTAATTGACTGGAGTGTTATACATTCGAAGTAAGTAAAGCCTCAGAAAAGCATTTGATAAGCTGCTGAAAAATGGAGCATTCTTAAAGCTGGGGACACTGGGGATTGTCGGACCTCTCCTAAAATTGACTGAAATTTATTGGTATGTATATATATATAATCTTTGTTCAACTATTTTATAACCCCTGGCAACTGTGCGTTTATTCTCTCCCCAATGTGATACGATGACCGGGTGGTCATAATGAAAATAAGCTTCCGGCTGTACTATGTTGGTTGCTCCTAAGTCGTTCAAAGAAAATGATTTGTTAGAAGGACGGACGACAGCAAACCCATATATGTTTCTTTTCTGAGCCAAAGTTATCGGTTCGGGTGACAAATCATATTCTTTTCATCATACTTTTGTGGCCTAATAATCCCAAAATATTCAAGGCTGTCGAAGACCGTTTTATGCAAACTCTCTTTTTTCCTCTTATCATTTAGTCTGGAATCGAACGAACTCTGGGCAAGTTACATATGATAGTTAACATTACCTAATCGCCTTCTATCTCTGTTCAAAGCAAATCCATAAGTTGAGGCGGTTCCTCAATACTTTCCCTCACAGATCTTCTTGATTTGTGAACTGGTACGTTTGAACAATGCATATATATTTGTTCCCGTTTGACGAGTTGACAACAAAACATTTATTTGCTAAGGCTACAAACCTAATCGTGCCCACCATTTTGATTACCACCATAAAACCTTTGAATGATAATCACAACAGTCGTATATAATATGCCTTGACAACAGTCTGATCTGAATCATTGTCTAAAAAGGTTTATCCACAATCCCATTTTCTTCATCTGTAAAAAATAGGGGAAGTGGATCTATGTACACGCTCTCTACTGAGGACTCTGCTTTCATCATTCACCCAAACGACTACGGAACTTCACAGATTTGTGCAGAAATGTGTGGCTCTGATCCTGTCTTATATTTGTTCTCAGACGCTTGAACCTTCTCGTGATTTGAATATAGTAAAATGCTTGAGTAGTGGTAACATCAAGGTAACTGCTCCGACTGCATATATCTAAAAAGAAAATGATCGAAATGGTCAAGTTACTATTGAGTATATTTTTATTTATCATCCAAATTCTACTGACTGTTTACTTTTTTACTTACGCCTGTTACACCTAATGGAGCATGAGCCAACAAACATCATTATTCATTCCACTCTGTCCCTGGCCTTTCTTTCTAGTTCTATTGTCGTATAGTTCAGTTGTCGTTAAGTATTCTCACGTCTGTCTCCATTTCTCGGCATAATGTATTCGCTAATCTTCTTCTTCTGATTTAACCCTGAGGATTCCAAGTGTGGGCTTGCCTTGTGACGCAGTTGGGCGTTTTCCTCAATTTGTGTCCTATCCACCTCTTCTTGACTTTATCCTCCGCTGGAATTTCTTTTGTTTTGTCCCACAGCAGGTTATTGCCGATTGCGTCTGGTCGATGGATCCGAAGTTTTTTTCTCATAAAACTGTTAATAAACACTTATATATCCTCAGTGACGGCATTCGTGGTTCTCCAAGTTTCCGCCCCATGCAGTAGAACTAAATGGTAATGTATGTGATTCATTCAGGTCACGCCAAAAACAATTAAAAATATTGTGTTCACTTGCTTCTTCTCACAAATAGTGAGAAACTGTGTGACCACGAGTAAATGATTAGTTTGGAATGGCAAACAGGGTTTACGTTCTGAATGGTTTTAAGTGTGAATAATTAGGAATTATGAATAAGCGTTAAGAAAAGAAATAAATTTTAGTGGTATTTCGGATTTAAATTTATGAATGTCAACCGAACACTAGTGGAGCTAGTGTTATACAAGTGTAAGAGTAGTTATTCACTTGCCTCTTATTACAGCAAAATCTGTACGAAGCATATTCATGACTAACAGGTAGTCAGGATTTTCATCGGTCAGCACATTCTAGAGAACGACAAGGAACATAGATGAAAATCTCAGGTAATTAAAATGCGTATCGATTATTTAAAACCGAATGTTAAGTGAATAAAAAAATTATTCCAAAAATGCCAAAGCATGCTTACTTATTTACTCATATCCCCCCACGTCGTGCAGGAGCATAGGTTTCCTGGAAAGATTCTTCATCGAACTCTATTCAGAGCAATCCTTTCCAGTTGTTATTCATCCTTTTGATGTATACTTTCATTTCCCGGAGCACTGTGTTCTTTGGTCTTTATCTTTCTATGCTCCAGGTTGGGCTTGCCCCACGATAAACTTTGTTGATTTACACAACCATCGTCTTTTCCTAATTTTCTCATCAGTTGCACACTGAGGTATGATGTCACACAATAGGCTGTTTCTTACGGCATCTAGCCAACGAATATGGTGTAATACCTATGCATTTCTGATGACGACTGTAGCTGTTCTCTAAGTCCCGGCACCGTACAATAAAGTACTTCGACTTGGTGCTAAAAGTTCTGGCTTTGGTGTTTTCTAAAAGTTGTTCTGAGTTACAGTTGTCCTTCAATTGAAGGAATGCCGTCCTTGCTTTGTAATTCCGTGTCTTTTCATCTGTAACAGTTTGGGTTGATTGGTTAGGAGTTGACCTCAGACATTTAAGCATATGTCAAAACAATAGAGTTCAAGTATTCACTCACTTCCTTATTTTGTATACGCTTTATATTTCCTGTTGTCTTATATTAAATATCAAGAGACTTTGTTTGTCTGAACAGGTAATTCTACGCCCCACTGTGACTGCGCGAAGATCTAAATAAAGACCTATTCACTACTAGTCTGGTTTCTTCTATCAATAGCACGAGGGTTACCTATAGGCACGAAACACCTGCATCCGGTCCTCTATGTTATCAGTGATACTGCTCGGATAAGCAAAAGTGTCAATTTCTTCAGAGCTTCCAAATCAAGTGTGTTTCGGTTGCTGCTCAGTGTAATGCATTTTGAGATGCTGCTTTTTTCTTTGTGTATGTTGTGTTATATTGCTGTCGAGGTTGCTTCTAGATTGGATGTCTTTACCTGCATTTATTGCTGTGTATGAGGTAGAAGATTTAAGTCATCAGTGAAGTTAAAATCTTCCAGATTCAACGAAGCTTTATACAGTATTGCATGCTTCCTCTGAGATATTAGGGTTTCAATAATGCTGTTAACCACCAGAAGAAAGAGAAAAGGCAAAAGTATGCAACCTTGTCAGGCTCTGCTCTTCACCTGTAATGAATCTGCTAGTCGTCTTCCAAGCACTACTTTACAGTGTTGTCTATCGTATGAATTGTGGATGATGGCGACGATTGTGTTGAGGAAAGTTACATATGATTCTCCTATCCAAACCGTCAATCAGTTTCTCATAGTCAAGGATGTTTATATTTACTGATAAATTTCATCCAACGGATGACTAAACAGTACAAATTCGTGCCTAAAAACTCGCCAACATTTCGACAAGTCTTCTTTGTATAACATGCTTTGAAATAATCTATTTCAAGTCACATAATTCATGAAATGATTTATTCAAAATGGTCTCTTGACTTCTTTATTGAACCTGTACATTCATATACCGATTTATAGCTGTTTCCATGATCTTTTTTATACCTATAGTGTTTTCTAGCTGTTGATGCTTTGTGTGTATTCATTTAATAAAATCCGAATTATTTTTCTCAAGTTTTCTCGAAATAAATTTCACTATTCGAGCTAGACAATTTCCTGTAGAATCAAAATGCTTGATAGTCAGAAGTATCTGAAATAATGTACTAACTTGGAATTCCCGAGATATTGCATTTTACAACAAGTACGACTAGATGAGCACTAGATGACAATATCATATTTAGAATTCGTAATCCGCGGACGATCAAGTATAAAAGGATCATTAGTTCCAACCATTACCACTAACTGTTACGGATAAATTCAAAAGATTAAGAACTTAACTTGAAAAAGTCGTATAATTTAGTGGATAATCAAAAATACATATCAGTAGTGCTGGTGTACTTAATTAAATTCTAGAAATCGAATTATAATAATTTTGAAAGGTCTAAACCAAGTACATATACTAAAAACACTAGGAATATTGATATTATAACTTTCCCGTAGAAATATTTGCTTATAGTCAATCAGTAGGGTTCTATTACGTTTTTGTGTTCAGTGAACCGTTGATATAAGTGTTCGTCAGTCATAATAAACTGAACTGAAACTCCAACTAAGACTCCTCAGTAAACACTGCATTACTTTGTAAAATAGTAAAACTGTGACGAAATTATAATTTACACTTTGATTACTATTTATTCTTGGGATTAAATATAATAACATGAAACAGATAATCAGAATTTAAGGATAATACTTCATACTAATCACTGAAGATAATTACTTGTTGGTTGAGTACCAAGAATAAATGAATTTTAGGAATAAAGTGTTTTAACTATAAATGCCTAATATAATTATCTGCCATTATAATATCCGATCACCTTTCATTATGAAAACAAATAACAGTATGGTGACGTAACACCTGTCATATGATATATCAATTATGTCAATTGTGATATTTAGATTTGTAGGAGAAATGCATATATTAACTGATCACACTTGAATGTGTAACTAAGGTCATATGAAACTACTATAAATTAGTACTGATCTTTTAATAAGTGAATGAAATACATATAATGCTAAACTATCTGGTACTTGAAATAATTTCTAATGTGTTTATTGATTAAATTGTAATGAAGTTCGATTATTTTGTGTTTGGACTAATTTTATTATGTTCAGATTCTATTTACGGACAAATTGGTAAGTCTCTATGTATTACATCATGTAATTTATTATTTTGGATCAGATTTTCCAATCTTTTTTTTTTAAAAGAGATATGGTAATAGGTAAACTTTGAAATTGACCATGTTCATAATATTGTGAAAGCGTTTGTTATCAAAAATACTGTGCAAACAAAATATAACTGTACTTGCCCCTTTTTGACTAAAAATATAAGAAAAAAATCTGTTTATTCTTGTGAGTTTGGGGGTTCTATTGATGTACTTATTTAAGATGTATCACTATTGAATAAAATACAGTTGATAAGTAGTATCCCTATCTGTTTTAATGAATATAAAGCATTTTTAGACATTAAAAGTCGTGTCATTTGTACTGGCATTAAAAAACTAAAATTCTTGAATGACTTGTCATATTATTTAAAATTGTTAGAAAATGCTCAAATTAACTTCATAAGGATCACGGTTATTGAATTTCTAATAACCATAAGGGTTTGATTAACTAAATCATACTTCGACTCAACTTTTTAATTTACCATGTTCTATTTTACAGAAACGATCAAAGAAGAGTCTGTAACTGATCAAGGATGGGTACGATTTAGTAAGTTCGTATGTTATTTTTATAATATTGTAGTTATTTCAGTATATGATGTTTTCAAGCAGTGATAAAATCACTTCTGTCTTTTTATATCATATACATGAATCAACACCAATTTTAACAATAGTAGATATCCCAATTGAATACCTTTATTATATCAGCTGACAACACAATCTAATGCGAATAAACTGAAGTAATTTTCTGTTGACTGAATCCTAATTACTTTGAATTTTTGTTTATTTGTCTGAGTTTTGATGCATTGTTCATCACAGAGTTTCGTTTGTTTTTTTAAACTTATAAAGCTATGAATCATAATCCACTCATAGTGAGCCCACGAAGGTTGCCACAAAGTAAGTGATCTTTCTGAAAAAGTGATTTGTAATTTTATTAACTTACGATTTCTAAATGCAATCAACAAGTATTTGTTCGATTAGAGCTAAGTATGAAGACGAAAATGACATCTGACTCAGAATAATATGAATTAGTCTTTATTATGTGGGTTCTCTTCAGCTGCTTTCAAGTGTATCTGTATTAAAATGTTCTATTCGCATTATTCTCCTAGCATATACGTGAGTAAGATTATTTGAAGAGAGATACAATCAGATAATAGTTATTCAAAATTCGAAAATTGATAAGATTCATTATGTAACACTTAAAGAAGATCTGAAGAGCATTTAAGGAATAAATGGATGAAAACCACGGTGTGGGACAATGATTTTAAAGTGGATGAAACAACGACTAGCTAAACATTGGATCACATAACAAAATTCATACAGTAACAATCATAATCACATGCTGTGACCTGGGTAAGTTAGTGATACATTGACGTCTATCTTTTACTGATAACGTAAATTCGTTTTGAGTTTTTCGTTCGCCTGTTCTTCGGCAAAGAGTAAAGAATTTAGGTTTATTTTTGCCGGTCGATAGTCTTGAAATACTGATGACAGTCGAATATACGCTGGGTATTGATGGAATATCGAGTCATTGAACTATTAAGGTCTTCAGCATGTTCAGTTCCTAAATTCTTCTGAATGTGCTCGTAGATATGAACGTATGGTAATTCTTCTGTTACTGTAGCGTATGTGCTGTGATATGTACTTGTAAACTAACAACTTCAACCGGAAGTATTGAGAAGAGGGAATTTGTCAATGTTTATATTGTTTCATAAAGCAGTTTGTTTTATGTAAGCTAACATGGGTAAGTAATCTGCATCGTAGTGCTTATTACCTAATAAATAAATGTAATGAAAGTGAATCCATATTCTTAGTTGTCGATTTTTGTTCATGCTTTTCAACAACTCTTAAAGAGGACTTATTGCGTGATATTATGATTAATAGTTTACTAAATGGATAGTACCATAGTATGACTGAATTTCAAACAACAGACCATTTAACACAACATACTTTTATTTGAATGGATGAGGCTTATTGAAAACATTCTTTTATCGAAACATTTAAGATAATAGCCAGATGAATATACTATCGTCAATAATAATTATGAAATGGTGTAAACTTGATATTTCACATACTAAATTTGAGTTAAAATAGCTTGATTTTGGATATAGAAAAAATATACAAAATAGGCTTATACATTAATACAGGAGATTCATGATTTCATGTAAGGTTTCTACCATGTATGTCCACAATTTTCAATACTGATGACGAATATCATTTGACTTAACGTGGATAAGTAATAATTCATTTTACTTAATTGAAAATTATGTTTCTAAAACTTTTATAAATTTTCTTGATCTATTTGTTACGAATTAGATAACTAACAAAATGAAATTATAATTTTAATAAATAGTCAAGCTTATTAAATAGAAAAAAATATTAGAAGGGGTTTTTGTGGGTATTATAGTAATTTTAATAGTTAAGATCATGAGTTGATTGAAGCTAGATCACCATGGAAACCTGGAAACACTAGACAGCTGTTTCGTCCTATTGTAAGACTTCTTAACAATGCGCATCCACGATCCCACCTCGCGTGATTCGAATTTAGGATCTGTCGGTCTCGAGCGAGAACGTTTAAATTCTAGACCACTAGGCCGGCATCCAACAGTGTTAAACAATAGTTTATAATATTATAACAGTTTTATTAGTGTTTTTTTGTCTTCTCAATTAGTTATTTAAGGAATAGCATTTCCATAGAAAACGTTTTTCAAATTAGACATCTTTTGATAAATCATCAATAAGTTATATTCTTATGAACTTGAAAAGTTATTTTTAAAGAAATATTTTTTATCCATCAGAATATGTGAAGTATCCTAATTCGAAAGTGAGTTTACCGTATGGATGAAATCATAATGATAATAACTGTATTATTATAATGTATGTTTAAAACACATGTATTCGTTTGAATTTTGCCACATTGAATTCGAATTTTGTATTTATTATAAAGATATAACTATGGGTTTGTTTGGAGAATTTATTACAGTATGAATATAATCTTATAGACTATATTCTATATAGGATTTCTTAATTACTGATCAAGTTTAATACATAATTGATTTCTATAGAAACGTTCTTATGACAAATCATTTTGTTCGTGGATGCGTACTGTCGAAGAGTTCCACACTACGATGAAACGGCCGTTCAGTACTTCTAGGTTTTTCATGGTAGTCTAGCTATAATCGATTCATGAATTCAACTATTAAATTGTTCATATTAATTTATCGAATAATTTAGGTCACTTTACATTCTAAAAAGATACTCAGATATTTTATCAGATGTGAATTTTACAACTGATAGACACATAAATAAACATCTGAAGTATCTCTTTAAGTTATGAGAAATATTTGTTTAATGAAATAAATGTTCACATCCTATTCAAATTGCTTAAAGATGGAACGAAGACGTTTATGATAAGTGTCCTGATTTTGCATAAAAATAAGTGAGATCAGTCAACGGAGTGCGGATCGTAGATATCACTAGTAACTGGCTTCAAGAGATACTTGCTGGAGTTCTTGTGAGAAACAATGACCAGTGGAGTTCAACCAGGTCTGTTGTGAGATAGTAACTCACTGATGATAATGGTGGATGTGTTACTCAATTTCGTGGATTAGTTGAAGTTAGACATTAACACCGTTGAATGCCGGCCAGTCTAGTGATCCAGAGATTAAGCGTTCGCGCGCCAGACTGATAGTCTCTGAATTTGAATCTCTTGAGGCGGGATCGTGGATGCGCGCTGCTGAGGAGTCCAAAAATAGAATGAAACGGCCGTCTAGTGCTTTCAGGTTTTCTATGGTGGTCTAGCTTCAATCGACTTATGATCTTAACAATTAAAATGAGTATAATATCCACAAAACCCTTTCTGAATTTAAAATATTTCTTTAATCAATCATCACGTCAACTGAAACAAAAGTAAGTTTGACTGTACTGTACTGTTTAAATTCTTTGTCGTAAGTGGTAGCCGGTTTACGTGAATAAAACCACTTTATCAAGATATAGTTCTACTAAATAACTTATTAAACAAATTTCTTCTTAACTTTGTTAAAAAAGATGTAAAGAGTTAGATGGTGGTTGGAGGTAGTCGACAGAAAACCCTGGACCCGGCTTTCGTGCTGCTTAGCACTCGTCAGCAAGGTGTACCTGTAATCTTGAGGGAACTGGTGCTTTTTGGCGGATTCGATCCCGTGTCACCCAGCTTCATAGTCAGATACGTTACCATTGAGCTTGAAATCACTGAGTCGAAACCAAAGACTGTCTGATAAAAAATTAACTATTAATCAATTTTAAACAGTATCATGAATGAAATGTCATACTCCAAAGAAGTTCTCATCTCATAACTGGTGTATTTATACACTTATAGATTATATAACCATATTTCCGATCAATAAAAATTCCAGCAAAGTATATTATGTATATTTTGATCTCATGAATTTTATGGAAGTTAGTTCTTACATTGAGTTCGCTGATGTTACAGTTAGTTCAGACTGAATATTTCATTTCTTCTCCTTCTTCTTCTTCTCCTTTACTTTTAGGTCAAATGAAGAATTCAGATGTGAAATCCTAAAAGAAATAAACTTTGTTAAATAACATCAATTCTAAAGAAGTATATCAACTTTTGTGAATTACTTGCAATATTGAAAAAAAATACATAAATTTTCTTTCCAGAACTTAAAAATATCGATTGTTTAAAACGTATTGTCTTTTATGAATGATTTACATGTGACTAATATTAGAAATCAGTACTTCTTTACATAGTCTTGTTCATATTGATGGAAAATATGACATTTTAATGGAACTAGTGAAAGAACCCGTTATTCACAGTTTTAATATAGATAAAAGACATAGAGCTATCATTTTTATCTGAAAGTACAAATTGAAGAATTGAGTGTTATTTATCAATACACGATGGTGGTACTCAGATTTATTCTCAACTTTTCAGTTACATTTATCTTTAATTAAAATGAATGAATTTCTGAATCCTTTCTGAATAGACTGAGTTTTAAATATATCATGGGTCGGTATTTAATAAAAGGCAGCTAATATATTTGAAAGTGGTTTTTGATGCTAATAGTAGCACTTGATAAACGCAAACAAATAACAGATTATGGCTTTAAGTTTAGTTATTTTTTTGTCCGTTTATAGATTTGTTTGGTTCTCGTATCTGAATACTAGGTCGTTGTTCTTTGATTAACTTAGGAGTTATTCTTAATGTTATTCTTTAAGTATCTGTTTAAGATCGAGGTCTTTTTCGTCTGTTGTTCAGCTTACGGTTTATTAGTTGTTAAAATAACGTATACGAACCTAAGCTAATATAAATAACAATAAAAGGCATAAAGGATTCCAAGTTGGTAATATTCAGTGTCAGTTACAGCAAACGTTTGTGGATGTTAAACGGTAATCGATGTAGTTTTTTTACTTATGTCATCTAAATAATCGTTTCTATCCATTAGACTTATGCAGAATGATGTGACTGCTTAACTTGCATGATCTCAAGTCAGACCTACTCACTGTTCAAAAACTTTATTATCAGGCCTACCCTTAAGGTGGTTACCAGTATATTCTGCTTTTCGAGTATATTTAGATAGCAAACAAATCTTAACAGACAAGAGTGTAGTTGTACACGAAGAGAATAAAACTGTAGTGTTTACAGAAGGCGACAAGATTGTCACGTCACCCAACGTTACAGGATTGATTAGCTAATCCATGTTAGTCATC